TCGTATAAAGATTGATATTAAAGACATAAATTGATTATTCAATTCTTTCAATTTTTTTTATTGACTTGTATTGTAGTTTTCTAATCATTTCGTCCGCATACAAAAATAAATCCTCATTTTTTTCTTTTCCTTCGAGTAAATATTTTTGTCGGCGACATTTATCGCGCTTTTTCATTGTTGCGTGATTAAGTGAAGCAGACGATTTTGTTTAGCAGGAATCGACGATACATGTAATGTGTACTGCGTTCATGGTTGAAACTGCGGCGAGGCAGGTCGAAACAACTGTTGCTTCCTACAGGAATTTGCTAGGTTAAACGATTTCGCAAAACACCATAAGTTCAATATTTTGCTTTTTCGCTGAAGCTACCAACGAATGTTCTAAAAGCTTGGAAATTTCCCGCTGAATTTCCAAACAATAATAAATAAGCCTTCAATGTAATCTACCCGCGTGATATTTTAATTAGAAATTTCCTGCAGGTCAGGTTTAATTAAATTTCCGTTCGTGCAAATGCGAAACTTGCTGTTATGACTAGTTTTGGGTAAAGTTTGATTTAAAATATTTGTGTGGGGTATTTCTAGATGTCATATAAATATTGAAGGAAACTCACTTAAATATATGTTCAAAAGATACTAGGATTTTAATGTATATATTATTCGTATTTGTCAATTCAAGTGGCGTTAACTGGGATTATCATTACTGTTGGACTTTGAAGCTCGATGACTAACAATCAAACATTCTTGTCTTGTCTCTACTTCTTTGTGTTCAAAGTCGAAAATCTATATATAATTTCTATTACTCATTTTAATAATTACATTTCCTCATTTATAGGAGAACATGTCACAGTAGAATAGATAGGTATTAATATTTCAGATTCAGATCATGCATTGTTCATTGATTTTTCAGTGAATACATGAAAAACCGGAATGATTTCTTTTCATTTCTATCCAGTATTTTACGGCGAGATTTAGATATTCAGTAAATGAAAAAAAAAAGGTGAAGCAGTTAGTTCTATAATTTTACATGGTTCTAAAAATGTTTTGTGGAGTGTGCCAGTACCAATCAAATCGGGGCACTACCATGATTCATAAACACTGAAATTTTTTTTTATGGGAAAAGTAAACCTTTTCTAACCTATGAACAGAAAGAAAAGTATTAGTTTTGTACACACAGGAACTCCCAATTCCTGTAAAAAAGTACTTTCAAAGGTGGCTAAGTCAACGTACAATGCATGGTATCACTGTGGACCTGCTGAGTCAATACTTAATCAGAGTTGGACGAAGCAGTCTCTCGTTGTGGCTGCAAATGGCATTTCAATCAAGTTTAATAAAAGACCAGCCATCGTTTTTGACATTTTTAATTTTTTATGCGAAAAATGGTGTTTGCAAGACGTAAAATATCTGCCATTTTCTTCATTCGAAAGCAAAGACAAAGGACTCGAATAACGGATTTCATAAGAAATTTCGGAACATATTAACACAGGGCACGCGAAAAATAAGATTAAAAATGAAATAAAAAAAAACCGCCAAAAATCTTTTGTTTTAAATTCTGTTATAATTTTGTCATATTTAGCAATAAAAATTAAGGAAATTTTATATAAGGCCTAATATTTTTACTTTTTGAAATATTTCCTTTTATGCGCTGAAAGAAGTGAAGAAAACAATTTAGGGGTGTTAGGGGCTCCTTGGAGGCCAGTCGTAACTACCATTCTCCCCAGTCCATTCTCTCGCCGTCTTTCAATTTCAAAGGGATGAATACCTCTGAAAAACCTCCAAATGTTTTTTATTGTTCTTGTTGCTCCAATAATGGGTATTTTTCCTATTAAAAATTTTAGTTGAGGTTGTAAATATGGACTCATCTGTCCAAATAATATATTTTCTGAAAAGTGTCTCTCCATAAGATTGTTGCATTGTTCTTATGACATCTAGATCTAAAGACGTTTTTCGGGTTGAATCTCAAGTTGCCCCTCATTTATTTGTTCTCACTTCAGCGTTCCATATATTCTAAAGTGTTGGTAAATCCTATCGAATATTTTTTTTCTATGCGCCTCTGTAATAAAAATTTTGTTATATAATCTCCTAGAGCCAAATTCCGGTATTAATTGTTCGATATGTAACTTTCTAACATATCAATCTTTTCCTCTGTAGTAAACATGATACGCAAGCAGGCGAATAAATTAAATTTATAAACGATAAATAAATAATCAATAAAAATATTTGAATCAACAATAAAACACGCTTCTAAGGGGCGGCGTTCCTAGCAATTGTTGGTTAAACGCCGTCATAGCCAACTTACGCTAACTGAACTTAATGCTCAATATGAAAAAATTATTGAAATATGTAGTTTCCATCAAAGAAAAAGGTTTTTTAATTTTATTTTTAACCACATTTTGCGTGTATATAAAATAAATCTAAAGTTTGTATTTAATTTTATATTTGTGCGCCAATTTTGAATTTATAATTTATCATTGCTATGGAAGTAATTATTAAGAAACACTGGTTTGATTGCACTCTAAAAAGCTTTTTCACTCAAAACTTGAATATTTGTCGCAAGAGCATTGTAAAATGGTATGTTTAAATAGTTATTTTTAATTTTTTTTAAATGATAACGAGGTACTCAGAGAAGATGAGAATTCCTTGTAAGAAAATTATAAACCAAGACTGAGCCTTCAGCCGAAACTCATAAGTCAATTATAAGTTCCTACAGTTTATCGTATCGTCAGCGAAAAGTGAACATTTGGTGGGACTAATGCATGACGGGAAATCGTTTATGTAAATAACGAAGAAACGTGGTCCTAGGACAGATCCTTGAGGTACTCCGTGTTTTAGATTTATAGTAGATGAACTGCACAACTCCTCTGACTGGAGCAGACTAATATTTTTAAATTAAAAATTAAAATTAAGGAAGTGTACGTCTATCGATCTGCCGAACATGAGGCAAGCATTTGCGCGCGTTTCAATTTAATCAAACTTCAATTATTTAACCCCCGAATTGCCTGTTAAATTAGTATATGAAGCCGTTTTCATTAGCGCACTAATTCGTCTGTCTATTCATTAAGCGGCCCGGATATTATTCGCTATGCAGTTCTGACCGAATTTACTAGAAAATGATACCGGAATTTTTGATATTGCCTGTCGCATCTCGCGATAGAGTCCAAGACGAGTCTCCCGGAAAATGAAATTTAAGTGCGGATGAGCTGTCCCCCTCTAATCGCGACTAATTCGTAGATTATTTTCCGATTTATTTTAATTAAAATTTTAAGAAAAATTCTGGACGGATTCGCAAAGTGCAACGTTGAAACGTTTAAACGTTATTTTAAAGTTATTTATTTTCATTCATAACAAAATACATTTTTAAGACACCAATTTTTCAATTTGCCCTCATATCACGTTATTTGGTGAAGTCTGTTCATAGATATAAGAAACTGACTAATTGATACGAATTAAGGAAAGACACGAGCAAGCTATAACAGGTCCGTACTTTGCTTAGAATTTAATTATTTGGGGTTTTGTTAGGAAAGATACTAACCGATATTTATTTATTTATGTATGTATTTATGGTTAAATCTAAAATAAAATTACAAATTGTTTTTATTACCTACTTAAATTACTTAAAATTATTCACATGATATATCAGTATCACTATCGCTATCATCGCCTGTTCTAATTATTATTTCTTCTATAATATTTGCAATATGGATATACGATCGTTCTTCTTTTCCATATGTTCAACAGAATTTGACCAACTTGGTGGAGGGATGTTAAAAACTTCGGTTTCTATAAGTTTGAGGACATTGCAGTTAACACGGGGAAAACATTGTTATGACGAATGGCAGATTTCAGTTGGTGCCGAACATGTTCAATGGGATTAAATATACAGTGGTAAGGTGAAGGCCTAAAACTGTATGTAGATTTTTTGCTTTTTGGTATAATCTTCGTGAAAATAAATGTCGTTATAATACATGTAGTTTCGGATTGTTGCTTTTGTGTCATACGAGAAAGGGCTTTTAGTCAACTGTCTACTGTGATAATTGTCCATTACAATTGCGCTACTACAAGGAATGTTTGGAACTAGTTTCTTTTTAAAGCAACTTTCAAATAAATGTGTCTTCATGGCAATCCAGAGAAGAATCTTTAATATTTTTCGCAGACAGAGAAAGTCCATTTGGAATCCAACCATCTTAAGAGCCAGCATACAAAATAGTTGTTTTTTTACCTCTTTTTGATGGCGCGTTTGTTTTACACTTATCAGTTGAGTTAACCCAACTCTTTTCCGGGTTATCGTAAGTATCGAACCAGGTTTCATTCAAGTAAATAATTGGCCTTTGTTGTTGTTTGTAAATCCTATTTTTTTTCTAGATATTCCAGTCAAATTCTAAATGATTCCATTAAAACTTTGTGTGTTGAATACACTTCCATAAGGTAGTTCTACCACATTTAACACCGGTTTCATCTTTTTCAAGCCTCCTAATTAAAATATCTAATGTAGGCACGCTTTATTCCTCGTATAACTGGTATTATATCTTGATCACTTTCATCTACACTCACAAAATGTCAGCATCGTTTCTTTTTTTCTCGCTCAAATGGGATTATTCACAATTTTCCATAAAGTTGATGTTAGAATTTTCGTCAATGTGGCCGTTTCTTCTAAAGATGCTTGCTTGCTGGCACCACTTCCTTAGTCTCAATAGAATAGTGTTTTCTACATTTGCGAGCATTTCCTGAGATACACTAGACTCGCACATATTTTGCATAATTCGCACAAGATTCAACACACGCTGTAAACTTAAACTAAGTAGTATACCAAACCGAAGAATATTAAACACAGGTAGGTATAAAATTATTTTCTATTTCGGACCACAATTTTACCTAAATCTAAATTCCGAAATTTTAGGTAATAATGATAATCACATTCAAAAGCAATTGGTCACTTTCTTATGTCTATGAACGGACCATATCCTCCATAACGTCCATAAAGTCCGAAAATAATCTAATGAGCTCACCGTGTGCTAACTTGGAGTTTCTCGATATCTCCAACATGATGCAGGTGTAGGCGACGACGATCACAATTAGCGGAATGAAGTACAAAAACAGGACGCAGGAAAGGTTGTAAACCAGCTCCATGGTGGTCGACGAGAAGTAGCCGAAGGTCACGCACTGCTTGTAGTCAGGATTGTGCGGGTGCGACTTCACCCGGAACACAAAGCACTGAAAAAAAAGGATAGAATATGGTAGTTATCAAGTCTTACGAGATGACCTCGAATCAAATATCAAATATGTTTACATTATGCGCCGAATTACAATTAATATAACTTGACGCGCAGATCTGCTAATAAATACATTTAACATAATTCATAACTTTGAAATATAAAACGCATGTGTTGTTCTTGGGTTCAGATTGTGCATTAATATCAAAAATCTTCAAATATGTATGTTTTATTCAAAGTTATGGTCACATTGTGGATATTTATCAAGAGCCTAAAATACCAGTATTATATAAATGAAATGTTTTATAAGAAATGATGTTACTTTTAATGTTATTAGAATTTTAAATGCTACTTGTTGATCATGATGGATTTAGTTATTTTTATATATTAGTTATATTTATTAAAATACGTCAGAAAAGGTAAAACTTAGTTATAAGATACGTATGAAATTTCCCTAGAATTTTCCTAAGAGTTCAAACATACAAAATACCCGGTATATGTAATAATACAACACTTTAAGGTATAACTAAATCCAAGCAACTTTTGTTTTTTTGATATTTTTTGCAGATTCTGAGGAAAGCTATCATTCCTTTATAAACGGGCCACCTTGTACAAATAGATTCAAATTACTTAGAAAATGTCTGTTTGTAAACTACGACAAAGGATGATAATATCATTCCTGCTTTCTTGACGCAATGGATTTGGAAAATGTTGGTTAGGTGTTTAGGGTTAGAATTCGCCATTACTGCTATCTGCTAACCAACGCGAGGCACATCTAGCATATGACGTCATCCCAGATTTAACTAATCAGCACGGTTCTCATTTCAAGGAAAAACGGACAAAGAAAACTTTTTATTGGTAAACTAGGTTCTAATTAAATCAACGGAGCTGTTCAAGAGATTTTTTTGTCGTAGCTGTGTGTGCACGTTTTCAGAAATTTGCTTTTTAAGCAATGTTAGAATGTTTGTTTTTCCCTCAATTTTTTTAAATTTTTATGTTTCCTTTTTTGAGCAATCAAATGAGTTTAATGTATAAAATACGAGGGCAACAATTTTTTGTTATTTTTCAAAGTGCTAAAAATAAATAAATAAATAAAAAATAAAAAAATAAAAATAAAATAAATAACTTCAATATTACATTACAAAAATTAATTCAAAAATATTGCGTGATGGAGACAAAAAAACATTGTTTTTATATTATTCTGATCCCTATAACTCCGAAAATATGAAAAATGACTTTTACTTTATATATAATATTCAGAAGGAACGACGGTATCGAATATATCGAACCGAAGAAAAGTATCTACTAAATTACTCTTTGGTCGGCGGAGCTTTCAAAAATCTCAACTTTCCGCTGATCGTGGGCGCATCCATCAGTTCCATTTCCAGCTTCTTATTCACGCCGCGGAAATGAGTGGAAAAGTCGAAACGTTTCGTTATCTATCAATTTGCGGCCAAACTTTGTTTCGCTCAAACACACGGCTGTGGAAGTAAGCACCGTGAACGAAGTAAAGCGCGCAAAAAGGGGGGGGGGGGAATAACAGTATTATAATGGCGACACATTTTAGCCAGGAAAATTCCATTAAGGTTGTCCTACATTAAAAACTAATTTAAAAAAATGAAAACTCAACTTGCGTGCATAGAAATCGGCCCAGTGTAAATTTTTGTACTTTGGTATTTTTTTTTTATAGAAACCAAACCAAAAAACTAAACATGCCACTTGGATCCTGATTTCATCAGTAGGGGCGGCCGTGGTCAAGGGACAAGAGGTTTAACAAGTGCTGGATACATCGAGCATATTTTAACAGCAAGCAGTTTGGGACAATTCCATCCTCTAACCCAACTAATATAGTTTCCTTTATTTGAAGGTGCTTTCGTCTGACAGTTTTGAGTAGAATCAGTCCATTGTTTGGACGTGTGTCGGGGGCGTGTCGAACCATATTTTACCAAAGTAAATTATGAATCAGTTGCCTAATCTCTATCTTTCAATTTTTTGAAAGTAATTCAATTACCAAGTGCGTAATCTGTGTGATCCCATTACTACTTGTCATTTGCTTATTTTGCAGTAATTAGTACACATTTGACAAACAACTTTATAGAGGGTAGCACGGCTAATATTTATATTGGTTTCATCTTTTTTTTTTCAAAGAAACCTCCACAGGCTACTATAATACTTTGTACAAAACGTCTGGATTCTTCCTGCGGCGGTTTTTGCTGAGTCGAAATTGCTGACGTTTCGCCAATCATCCTGTTGGGTTCTTCGGGTACGGAGCTAAATGGGGGGCAAAAACACCGTCTCGGACGTCTGATTCCTAAATTGGCGACAGGTCTCTACGGACTTAAAGATTCACAAACCAGGATTACCCCTTCGACCTTTCGTCAGCACCATTGGTTCTCCAACCTATTCTCTAGCACAATAGCGAGCTTCCTTATTAACACCCCTTACAGGGAAAACTGACAGTTTACTTAATTCCTTTCACTTCATTGAACAATTAAAAAGCATTACATTAGATACAAAGTTCCTATTCCTGAAACTCTCGACATCATTTCAGATATATTAAAATCCGAGAATCTGGAACCAAGCCTTCTCACCTTAATTGAAAAATGCTTATCGGGAACATACTTTTCTCATAACGGTCAAAATTTTCAATAAACGTCGGGAACAGCTATGGGTTCTCCACTATCACCAATCATCGCGAATATACACAGCAACAATCTTAACCGCGACTCAGGTCTCAATCTGTCACCAATTTGGGAATCAGTCATCCGAGACGGTCTTTATGCCCCTCATTTAGCTCCGCCCCCCTCAAACAATATATAAGCAGGTACAGAGTAAAATACGAGCCAGTTTCAGTCAAGATCTGAAGAAGCCAACAGGATGATTGTCAGCAATTTCGATGCAGGAGGAATCCTGAAGTTTTGTAAAAAGTGGTTTCATCTTCTTCTAACCTCTTCTTCAGTTCATCCAATGAACAACCTCGCTTTGAAAAAAACAATTTTCCTTCCCATCACGACGTTTATTCGTTTTCTTCAATTCTCCGCTATTAATATCTATTAATCTTTCTTTTTTAAGTTTCTTGTTGAAGAAGTCCTCTACCTATTAAAGTTACACATTTTTCACAAGCTGTAGTGCATCAAGAGAAAAATGATTTCGACTCGACAGTCTTTTATTCTCGTAAAATAACTAGAACAACTAAGAAATATTTTAGATAGAAAGAAATATACCTCCTACTCACTCAAGTAACATTTTTTTTGTTAATGACTTTACGCATTAACAATAGGTAATAACATCGTTAAAGATTTATTAGGCCCTCCCCACTATGGTAGAAGTAGCACATTCTCAATGCCTATAGCTCGCCGTTAAAAATACTCAAACACAACTGTGTGTGTTTATATAATAATAAGAATTATACGTTTTCAATACAAAAACCCTGCCATTCAATAAAGATTGAAGTGACTTCTAGAAGAGTCTGCCAGCTGATATCTCACGTAAGAAGTTTGAGAGCGCGATATGTTCATGGGATAGTTTGAACGGCTGCCTGCAAAACAGTGTGCAGCTAAATTAACAAATAAAGACATACCCACGGTCCCGCAGGGAATTGGCAAAAAATCTGGGGGAGTTTATTTTTCTGACATGCCGGTAATGATACGAATCGCATTGTTATGCTTGGGCGTTTTGCAGGCCACATTTTTTACGATTTTCCCGATAGCGGATTCTAAATCATCCTATTCAACAACCCCATGATTTATGGATGAGGTTCGCGTAGAATCAAACGAAATAAAAGGAAAATCCTGACCGGACTTTCCTTTTCGCTCGCTCCGCCGCCTAATGTATTGTAATTTTTCAAGAAAACGGAGTTTTCCGGTTTCGAGTCAACTTAAACCAGTGGCCGCCGACCTTCATCGAAAATCGGAAATGCATATTTCCTACGCAAAATATAAAGTTCTTTCGCATGGTTCGCATTGCCAAAAAGTTTTAGCGTGAATAACTTATTAAAAAATAGCTTCATGAAGAAATTTAAGATTAATTAAAAACTAATTAAAAATTGATTAAATTAAAACTAAGAGACCTTTTTTGTAGAACATTAAATTTGCAAAAATATATAATAATAATGATATAACTTTCTTAGAACAAAATAAAATTTGTTACTATATATACTGATGAACTTTTTGAACAATTGCTCAACGTCTTTCTAACCCGGTCATCTTTATCCCTTCATTAGCTGCACTCCAACCAAAGGATTCCTCCGATAGAGTCTTGAGTGTCAACCATCCTCATCCTCATCAAGGTAACTTGTTGAAATGATTCTCTTATCACTGGGATAAGGGATAATAGTGAAGAACTGAAGAAAAGCAATAAACGTAGTGAATCGCACAGAGCAAGTACTTGGAGATTTAATTATCTTCAAGAAATTAAAAGATATAGGTTAGACACATCCATATTTGCCTACCAAGCTAGAATGTTAAGCATGCTAGCTTGGATTATCATGAGGATGCAAGTGCCGAACTTTTTGAACATTAGTCCTTTTCCAAAAATATTCCCAATAACAATGTTATTGTCATTTATAATGCATGCTACCAGCGTCGACTGATATGCAAAGCACAAGCCTCAACAAGTTCAAAAACTGAAATCAAGGAGTATTTTTCAGAAAATTATATTTACTTTGAATTCTGTTATAAAAGACCGCAACCTTTGAAAGGTCCAAATTCATATGCAATTAACAACTGGGCATATAGTTTTACGTCTTCCTCCATATCATGCCACGTTTAACACTATAGAGCATTTGAGAAACTAAGTAAAATCACAGGTCAGAACACAAAATATTACTCCAAGTGTTATAAATTTGATAAAAAATGTAATTAATAACATACCAATTGACAGCTGAAAAAATTGAGGACTATTCCATTTTGTGTACAAAACAACACAAATCCTATTATCTCAGTGACGAATCTGAGAGTGAATTTATTTTATTTATATGTTTTTATGTTATGTTTTTTATAC